AATGCAAGTTTGAACTGTTTGAAATGGTTTACTTTTAGACACCGTAATCAAATAAAATAAAATAAAAAACCACCAGTGTACACATACTCAAGAAAATTATGTAATTAAGCCAATATTGATTTTATGTCCAATGTTGCCATTAAATTCAACTCGGAACTGCTTATAAACTATTACTTTAGTTTAAAATAAATGTAATTATATAAAATAAAATAAATTATATTATATAATAATTTATACTAAATTAAATAATAATTTAATTAAATCAACAGAATTACACATTTAAATGCAAGTTTGAACTGGTTTACTTTTAGACACAGTAATCAAATAAAATAAAATAAATAAAAAAACATCAGTGTACACACACTCAAGAAAATTATGTAATTAAGCCAATATTGATTTTATGTCCAATGTTGCCATTCAATTCAACTCGGAACTGCTTATAAACTATAGCAAGTTAGTTTAAAAGGAAAGTTAAATCACAATGAGACCAGTTATATGTATAATAAATTAGACACAATCTAAACTTTTAATTATAGTTGGAACATTTTATAAACTATTGCTATAGTTGACAAAAATGTGAATTTATTTAAATAATATAAATAAATAAAATAATAAATAATAAAATTAAGCAATTTATATTAAATGAAATAAAATTATGTAAAATATAAATAAAGTTATTTATAAAAATAAGATTAAAAAAAAGAATTACATCATTGTTGTTGTTTTTTGGGGGGTTTTTTTTATTATTGTAGGTCAGTTTGTATGTTTATGATTTTCAACCAAGCAATCAGCACCAAGTGCCACAAGTTACCTGAGGGTGTTTCTCGTGGTCAGAGGGATCGATCGAGGCGTCGACATCTGAAGGATTGGGGATGATGAAGAACATTTGACAGACACTGAATCACTAGACATCGTCTCAGCCGTTGACCTCTTAAGAAACTCTTCCCTCTCTGTGCGACAGTCCTTCTCCATCACTGCAGAGAGAGACAGCACACACACAACGATCACTTGACCACGTCCAGGTGTGATTCATGTACAACTGCTACTCTACACCATCCACGTGTTGCAAGACTCACAAAACATTCAAACATTTTCCTGCACACCAACTTTCCCTTCCCAAAATAGATCTTTATTCAACACGGCAGAACCTGATTTACAGCCAAGAGAACAATACGTGTCAATAATGTGTAAGAGAGTGTTTAGGTTACACCTTTCACAATGGTTTCTTATTATTGGCTGTTGCTAAAGGAGACAGAATTGTTGACTGTCTGATCACACAAGAACTTGTGAACCAGGAATCTGGCACTGACACACCCCATTCACGACTTGGCAAACACACACTCATAATAAACAAATGCTTGTCGACACACTTCTCAGCAAGGCAAAGTGCTCTGACGTAGCTTACAAAAGCAAATCAACCGATCACATGTTCTAATACTCATGCAACTACACACATTACACACAATTCCTTTCTTTTTTGTATCTAACACACTATGTTACACCTGTCAAATTAAAAGGGTGATGTCACTCTCGGGCAATTGTCTATTAACAAAGCTGCGGGCTCTACTTACATCCAAAAACAACGTGCTCAAAGAGAAAAGAGGATTTGTGGATTTCTCTTAAATGTGCATCAGAAACCAGACTAGACTAGCCGTTCAGAGAGGTTGCATGTTGAACAAAGTCAATGTGGCGCACAAACTAACAGGTTGGAGAAATGAAAGGGTATGCATGATGCGCTGTCAAACAAAGTTTATTCTGCTTTAAACTGTTGTTTTGTCACCTAAAATTATGTTTCAAGTAGCCTATAGTAGGACTATAATATTATTTAATGTAGCATTGCTTTACATAAGATGAGAACAACTGGCTTCCATCAATAAAAAGTAAACAAAATTCAATATTATCATTACTACTAAATTCAATTATTCAGTGTAATATCCCTGAAACAAGCAGTTTTCCACAACTTTTTTTTCTGTCTTTAATTTACGGTAACGGCAAAAGAGAAAATTGACATCTTCACCATTCATTCAAATTTGTAAACATATTACGTAGTTATGCTTTTATTTGCAATATATTTGCAAAAAAACAAAAAAAAAAATGTTGTAATCAATGTAATAAAAACTGAAGCTGTAGTTTACCCCATTTTTGCCCCAAAATGTGTCAGATAAATACCTTGAATTGACCCAAGTGTTTTGTTCTTCCCTCATATTTAAAAATTATTAAATATTTTCCTCATATTTTGATGATTTCATCAAACTTCAAAACAAATCCCAATCTTTTGGCCACTATAGGCCTATGTCATATTGGATATTATTCAACATTAACATTAATATTAGGCTATTAAAGTCGCTAATATTATTATTTTAAGACCAATTATTACTATATTATGTAATAAAACTGTATATGTCTTCTCTATTCTTTTCACTGTTGTAAACAGTAAATGGTCAAAAACAGTATTTATCAACATTTATGGTATTCGTAGGCTACTATTACTAACTAAAAAGTCCCATGTAGGCTATTAGTACGCAAACTAAACCACAGTTCGACATTGAAATGATTTTTTATTGAATTAATCATGTCATTCTTTGACAGTGAATACATTAAAGTAGCCTACCGTTGAAACGCATTAACGTTATAGCAGTAATGTGTAATCAGAACTCAAGCAAAACATAATTCTCCTCACTAACCTTTGAATATACAGTTAGGACATGTATTAATGAACAGCTCAGGGTCACAATTTCATCATGAATCGGAGACTTGTACGGTTAACAGTTTGGTTTCTGTTCTGAGTTGTTGACATGGTGTAATAGGCAAAACAGTGTGATAATACAAGAAGGCTCACCTAAATGTACACTGTCCACTTGTTGTTGAACTATTGAACTCTGGTATCAGTTTACGGCGACACAAGCTGAAGTTGTAGTGTTTGTAGAGTATTTCATCCAGCCGACACGAGGAACATCCTCTTTACACTCCTGTCGAGTTTCGTGTGAAAACAGAAAACACCTCACACACACGTGGGCGGAGCTCGTGAACACACACAGCTGCAGGAAGGGCAGGTAAAGTTCATGCCTACACACACTTAACAGACAGGTTGGTGATGAGGTCATGCTGGTCCTTCTACTTACTCATTTGTAACTGGCTGCTTCAACTTGATACTTGTCATTTCCTTTCAGATTTTTTTAAGAGAGACTAGTTCACCCAAAATTATCATTCTGTCATCATTTACTCACCTTCATGTCAAGCCAAACCTGTATAGAAGGGCCTAAAACCAACTTTTTGCCACACCTGCCACTGCAGTGACTTAAAGGGATAATTCACCCCAAAATTAAAAGTCATTAAAATGTCTTATTCCCTTATGTAGTTCCAACCCTATGTGAGTTTCTTTCTTTTGTTGGACACAAAAGAAGATATTTTGAAGAACTTTAGTAATCACATTTTCCTATGGAAGTCAATGGCTGCCATCAATTATCTGTGTTTTTTTCTTCGTCCATTTTGTTTGATTAACATTAAAAACACAGACAGCAGCATCTCGCTTATGTTCATTTAGACATAACCTACTATGTTTGCATGGATAGGCACTTTTGCCTTTACATTATTTGTGTGAATTTGTCAACAGAGCTGAGTTTAGTTTAGCTTTATGGGCACACATAAGTTACAATTTTCCACACAGCGCGCGAGTAACGAGCTACATTGTGTGGACAAAGGTAAATATACTTTAAGATATTTTCTGTGTTTGTTCGATGAAATAAAGTCATACATGTTTGGAAGGACATGAGGGTGTTTAAATTATTAGAGAAGTGCCATTTTGAGTGAACTAACGCTGTCCTTTAGGCAAATTAATAGAAATTCTAGTTAATGATGTCTGCTAATGAAATTTGAAGAAAACATCTCTAACATAAAGCCATAAACGTGTTCAGTGACACACCTTGGCCCACATTAAGCGCCATGTCATATGAAAGTTGAATCATTGAGCAACCATTTAAAAAACAAATGAATGAGGAAAAAATTACCCATTACATTTTCATTCCAAACCTGCCAGGAAAATATTTTAAATGCACAATATGTAATTATAGTGAACATTTATATTTCTATACCTGGATAGATTAATTAACAAAATTATTTTTTTACCTGTCATGAAGAAAATTTAATATAAATTACAAAATAATAATACTCTTCAAAACCGGTTTTATCATAAATAAATTCTTTCCTTTCTCATGGACAGCTGTGTATCAGGAGCTCTTTTTAAAATATAGCCTATCATGTCATAAAAAGAATTCAGTTTACAAAATAAAAGCACAACAAATCTAGCTAGCTGTTATTAAAAAATCCTTACCATAGTAGCCATATTTTCCAGCAAATTATCATAGTTACTACAGCTATTGTTAAAACTAATTTAATATGGCATCTCATTTAAACAATATAAAAAGCTCTCAAATTCTGTCCAGCCATTTAGCCTAGATGTTTGTGGCTAATGCCAAGCACAACTTTAAAGTATTTTGTTTAAAACCATGGTACATTTTTCAGTAACTATTTTTAACATTAATAAGAAGAAATTAAATCGACATATTAGAATGATCTCTGAAGGATCATGTGACCCTGAGGACTGGAGTAATGATGCTGAAAATACAGCTTTGATCACAGTATATTACATGTTAAAATATATTCAAATAGAAAACAATTTCGTAATAATATTTCATAATATTACTGCTTATTTCAAAAACAAATCTTACCAACTCCAAACTTTTTTACTGTTTGATTAAAAAAAAACAGTACTACTTTTAAAAAACAGTACTTCAACACTACTTTACTTTTGATTAAAAAACACCATCTTTGTCCATAAATAGCTTATAAAAGATTGGTGGACACCATTATTGTAGACCCTGGATATAGAAGAAACCTCAAATTTAAGTTGATCAACTGTAGACACTGGATACAAAAATTTAGTCTGTAAGCTGACGTCTTCACACCACACAAGAGTCACGTAATAACCATAACAAGGCGTATAATATATGATGTTTTTTTTAATTCAAATCAAATCCAACAATTTGGTGGAGGGGGAATGTTCAGCAGTCTGTGATTGTGCTCGGGCCGGGGTTTGAGTGGCGGCTGGAAACAGGTAGTGTACAGTAGGAAACCAGAGATCTGCCCTTAACTCCACTACCCACATTCGGACACACTCACAAATTAAAACATGGACCTGAAGAGCCGGAAATAAAACAAGCCTGATTTTCAAATGACTCGAAAAGAACGATCAAGGACGGTGGTGGGGGAATCTGAGCGAATCGATCCTCACCTGATACAGGTTACAATGCATTTGTTCCTAAAGAGACAGGGCAGGTTTTTAATCTCAATTAAAAGCTCTATGTCTAAAGTGTACATGTTGTATATCAGCAGGCCTGTAATACTGGCGGAGGGTTATTATCGCAGTGAATGGTTCATTGCCGTCAACCTTGGTTCTTTCTTCGCCATGTGAAAACCACGCGTGGTGCAGTATGGAGCAAAAACAACACAGTTTGTGAGGTGAAACGAGAAGAGGAGATGTGTGTGTATAAAAGGCACGCCAGGGGTCATTCCCAAACCAAGCAAACAGACAGAAAAGCCTTCATACACACATGAAACGATACATTCTTGCTAACGTGCATACTAAAGATAGACGCTTCACTATGCACACACACACACAAACACAGTCTGAATCAGCAATGCCCAAACCTGAATGAATGAGAGGGAGGACATGGGATACTGAGTTCAGTCAAAGTCTGTGTGTGTCTCGCTCTCTCATATACATACGCACACACACACACCTACCCATTCACACAACAACAAACACACACACAGATTTGGAGGCTGTAGACTAGCTCATTTCTGATTTTTCAACTGATTGGAGAGCCAGTCCAGCCCCTCGTAGAGCCCGTCCCCACTGGTGGCGCAGGTGGCCTGGATGTACCAGTTACGATGACGGAGGGCGTGAAGGCCCAGTTTATCTGTAATCTCAGCTGCGTTCATGGCATTGGGAAGGTCCTGTGATGGAGAGGAGACAAATCCAATCAGAGATTCAAAGGCCACCACACGACAAACGCAATGTCAAATCAACATGAAATGGCTTTCACAATGTCATGTGACATATTTTCACTAGACTGTGAAAAGCAGCCCCATATTTTTTGTGACTTTTTTATTTATTTAAACCTCAAACCACCAAGCATTAATATTCATGATGAGTCTTTAGGAAGCAATTTAGAGTGCATTAGGGTATAATTTTGACAAACGTTGCCAAATTGTTATGCTGGGCAAGGCATTCAGGGTTGCAAAATAATTATCTTTTTTTTTGTAAACCCCAAACAGACAGCCAAAGGTGACGTCCAGCCTTGTTGTACGTAAAAAATGTACATCTTCACCCTTTATTTAAATATTATAAATAAATGTGTCAAAGATTTTGAACGCATATTGTGTAGCTGTGCTTGGAGGTAATTGTTTTATTTGTGATAATAAACAATGAAACATGCCAAAATTGTGCCAAAATGATTTTTTACATGCAAAAACAAGAGAGAACCAGCAAAATATTAATAACTGATTATGTTGTTGTCAATGTAGGTATGCTTTTTCCTGTGAGCTTTTTGTTTTTTTATGAATATGATAACACATTTTTTTTTGTAAAAAGAATAATATAGTCAAATAATATATAATACATAATAAAGTCCTGAAGCTGTATTTTGAATATTCCCAAATAATTTTATCAGATAAATACCTTAACCAAGTTTAGTGTGTTTTGTTCTTCCCTCATATATAAATATCAGTGACACTTTGTAAGGTTTTATTTTTTTAACATTAGTTAACATCAACTAACAATGAAAAATATTTCTAAAGCATTTATTAATCTCAGTTAATCTCAACATTTCATAAAACATAATTTAAATCAAAAGTTGTATCTGTTAGAATTAGTTAATGAGCTAACAATGAACAGTTGTATTTTTATTAATGTTTAAGATAAATAAGTACTGGAACAAAATATGGCCCATAGTTAACGCATCACCTAAATGAAACCTTTTATAAAGTTTTACTAAAATCTAAAAAAAAAGAAAGAAAAGAAAATATTTTCAAAATATTTTGCTCATATATATATATATATATATATATATTAGGGCTGTGCAAAAATTAATTGCTATTAATCGCATCCAAAATAAAAGTCTGTGTTTACATAATATATTTGTGTGTGCTGTATATAATTATTTTGTATATATAAATACCTATGCATGCATGTATATATTTAAGAATTATTTGCACTTAAATTCTGTGTATATATATAAATACATAATCTATATTATATAAATATAAATATTTAATATATGAATAACAAATTTCCTTAAATATATACATACATGTGTGTGTATTTATATATACAAAATAATTATATACAGCACACACAAATATATTATGTATACACAGACTTTTATTTTGGATGCGATTAATCGCAATTAATTTTTGCACAGCCCTAATATATATATATATATATATATATATATATATATATATATATATATATATATGAAGAGTTCAGATGCAAAAGCCTCTAAATGCCATTTGAAATTTTCTTCTTTAATGATGATTTTTATCAAACTTGTATATTTAAGTTCAGTAATTTCACTTAAATAACAATCAATAGATAATTATCATTGCCATTTAAGTGCAATCACTGAACTTAAATATACAAGCTTGATAAAAATGATCATTCTAGAAGAAAATTTCAAATGGCACTTAGAGGCTTTTGCATCTGAACTCTTCATATATATATATATACATTATAGTTTGTAAAACGATAAATTTGTTCCAAAAGTGTTTTACCCATATTTAGTTTAAATTAGATATTGTTTAATTTGCTACTGTATTTAATTGCGTTATACAAATGTACACTGGGTCTCTGAGGGTTAACCTATTTTTAATGTAGTTTGGATTGTATTTCCTACATGTCATTTTTTAAGATGAGAATATCATGCAACCTGCCAATGTTGGCATCTGCCCAAATGGACAAGCTTCTGAATTTGACCAGTTGAATTTGAGCCAAAATTCTGTTGCATTTGATTGCACATAATGTTTTTGATGCCAACAACAAAAAGGGTAGCATTTTCTTCACTCTTTTAAAGCAGACAAGTCAGTGTATCTCAGCATCATGACTATGCATGAAAACATGGTTAGTTGCTTTTATTATCTGCATGTAATATTGTTTCAAAGAGCCCTGGAGAGATGAGCAATACTGCAGATAAGTGATGCTCACCTGTTTGTTTGCAAAAACGAGAAGAACGGCGTCACGCAACTCGTCTTCAGCTAACATTCTTGTCAACTCTTCCCTGGCTTCATTAACTCGTTCCCTGTCATTACTATCCACTACGAATATCAGACCTGCCAACAGGAATATCAGGAAAATCATTACAATAGTAATTGATTTTATAACATTTTAAATTCTCAGGCAAATTTGTGCAAATTTTTACAACAAAATACACACTTTTGATTGTGTTTAGCTCTCATACCTTGAGTGTTCTGGAAGTAGTGCCTCCAAAGTGGCCTGATTTTATCTTGGCCACCAACATCCCAAACCGTGAAACTGATATTCTTATACTCTACCGTTTCTACATTAAAACCTGCAGGAGAAAAGATTTAAAAAAATAACTTTAAAGCTTGGGCTTTACAGACACAAATTCAACACACATTCTGGATAACACAGCAGATAATGTGAGTGAAAGTAGCAATGTTGAGATGAGAACAAAAGAGTTTTGTGCAACATGATGCACAAGTCAAGGTCAAACTGTGAGAAAAATGTGGGAAATCAGGATATCAAACACTGCCAAAAACAAATAACAGGTGTAAAAACAGATGACGTCTTCAGCCGTACCGATAGTGGGAATGGTGGTAACTATTTCTCCCAGCTTGAGTTTGTACAGGATGGTGGTTTTACCGGCGGCATCAAGACCAACCATGAGAATTCTCATCTCCTTCTTCCCAAATAAACCCTTAAACAGGTTTGAAAAGACATTCCCCATAGTTTACACTGCAAAATTAAGAGATAAACATTATTTTATTTACAGCACACAACAAAATACATGAACTAGATGCATTTCAGTACTTTGACTTTAATTCAAAAGCCCCATTTTAAAGCAACACCCTGTAATGTTCATGCAAGGTCTTATTATATACAAACAAACAGTCATACATTTTTATAGAAGTTTACAGGGGAAAAAAATCTTGTCTGATAATATATCACAGATTTTTATTTTTTAATTAATCAAAGTATACAAGGACAAACATCATCTATCTTGGAAACTGCCATAGGCTTTAAAGCAATGCGAATTATTTCCAATAACACGTAAAATGTGCTTGTCATCTAAAAGGCTGTTTATTATAAAATATAAAGCACATTTTGTGAATAAATGTCTAATAAAATGGACAAACACAGATTGTGGCAGACTGTCAAGGCCTAACTTACATATTTTATCCAAATGTTTATTCAATTACTTTAAGGCTTAAAACTAAGATTAATTTAATAATAGCAGTATAGCTAGCTTCGTCTACACTGTTACCACGAACAATTTAAAGATGATTTAAGAGACAGTAAACTTTAAGTAAAAATACATAAATTTGAAGCGTGTTTTTCTCAGACTGATTTTATGGACCAATCATCTTTAGCAGATTAGCCGACTAGCTACATACAAGATAAGAGCAACCAGCTGGTACTTCAAATGACGAATTTAATCATTTAAAACCGGATGAATATGTGAATAATAAGCTTAACGTAATCGTCAATAAATTAACATGTTTATCATGAAGACTGCGAAATAAAATCACCTCTAAACCGGGGCTTCTCGAGCTGTATGTCTCCACTGCTGTAGCAAACCGCTGTCAATGCAAAATGGCGTATGTTGCAACTCAACGCACCGGCTAGACAGGTCCCGCCCACCACATATAAAGGCCCAATCAGGTAAGGAGAACAATGCGGAATCCCGCCTTCTAGAAGTGAGCTCCAATCAGAAAGAGCGACAGATCCGGTTGGATTTGGGAAATGAGGAAGTAAGAACTTCCGATCTATTGTTGTAGTCAGAGTACACTATGGTACACGCCTTAGTTAACATTGCATAGCACTGCAATAGCGTTTGTTTTCATGCACTAAATATACGTATTTTAGGTAAAAGTATTGAGTATTTTCTTAAATGGTGTGTTTGTGTATTTTAATATTGTCTATAACAGAGTTAAACAGTGTTGTCTTCATAACAATAACTATATAAATACAACAAATTTACAATTTACCTGTACAGTTCCGCCAAAATAATAAAATAATTGTATCATTTGACACACTAGGGTTGAACACAAGTTAATACACAAATGCATGAGTGACAAATGAAGTCAGCATCATAATGCTACACATGAAAAGAATGAGATGTAAACAACTCCAGTTCTGTTTGTTTGTGGTGGTCACTTTTGCTAGAGCGCCAATGTTGAGCAGGTGTCTGAATGTTCATCATATTCTTGCATCTCTAATTTTCCATCTCTGACTCTCCAATCCCAGCTGGGACTGCCATCAGGAGCAGGGACACACTGCAGCCACATGCCCGATACACACACTTCTGTGTCCTGAGACACCAGCCGCCCATCCAAGGTGGCCAAACAGAAGGTCCGCAAAGATATCTGCGACACAGACATAAATGCAGATGCTCAGATTCATTAAATTGCTCATAAAAACATGATAAATACTACAAAAGACAACTTGTGATGGAATCTTAAATACATACATTTCACAAAAATCTCACCTGTTCGCTGATTCCCACAGCAATGTGCCCGATTTTCACTTGTGGCCTCTCTCTGATCTTTAAACTTTCTCCACTTATGTCTTCCACCCATATATCCACGCCAAGACCTGCACACGCACAAATCAATACACACTAACATGACATAAGCACCTAAAAATGCACTATACTGATGAATCTTACCTTCAAAGTAGCAAGAAGGCGTCTGATCAGTCGACACAGACCAGTCCACATTGAAGCTTTGATCATCTGCAGTGCTGCAGGAGGAGAAAACCCCTGAGCTAAAATCATCAGAGTCCTTTAAAGCAAAAACATGGGGTTCATTTGATGTTCTGCCACAATAACCTTAATGAAACACATTACTACGTCACTGCAATGTTTACCTCCTCACTAAGATCTTGCTCAGAGTCACAGCGGCTGGTGCAGGTGAGAGGTCGCAGTCCGTGACAATCAGGTGAACTTGGGCTTTTTTGTTCTGTGGAGGATAAAAGAGAACTCATCAACATTGCATAGAAAGTGCTAGAGATTCACTTTGAATCAGAACATTTGTGCTGCTACATATGTTGTTTGATGCACTGTGTTTGAGGCACAGATGGTGTATGTAAAACACAAGCAAAATCTTGGAAATCAGATGATAATGAAGAACCTATTCAAGGAACTAACCCCAAAACTACTCTTTTCCTTATCCTTAAAATCATATTGGTACAGAATACTGAAAAAAACTATACATTTTCACTTTAGAAATTAGTAGTAAATTTAAAAATAATGACAAGAAAGAAACGGCAAGAAACCTGGAAATTGTGAAGTAGAAAAATTAAAACAATTGTACAACAAACTCTAAAAATATTTGTTTTATTTACAACTCACTGTAATATTGTATTTTTACAGTGTAGATGGAAATGAAAACTGAAAACTCATCTCTTCCGTGAGCACTAAATATAAAAAAATAAAATAAAAAAATCCTTACTTGCCTGGTTTATACTACTCTGAGCAATGTTTTTAAACAAAAAAATTTATAATAGTACAAAATTGACTGTGAATTCGACTCAAAATTGATTGATAAAAGTATGTACAAACTAGAAACAATGAATCAAATCAAGCTCACACACAACCAGCACTCACCACTCTTCCTCAGCAGGACCGACTCCTCTTCAGACTCAGAGTAGCTGTCTTCGCTAAGCAGTTGAGCTTCTCTCGGGCGATAAAGTGTCTGGAGCTGTAGAAACGGTTCCCACTCTTGTGCGCAATCGCTTCCCAGCTCTCGAAGACTTTCCAAATCACTCTCCACCTCTTCATCATCCACAAAGCTTCGGATCTCTCCATCCCAGCTCTCAGATTCCTCTAAAAGACTTCTGTCATATTCGCCACATCCTCCAATTACAACTCTCTTTTCCATGAAGTGATCAGTTTTGCTTTCTTCAGGATCTGTTTGATTCTTGATCTGTAAAGCATCTTTGTCACAAATCTCTTCATCAGACTCAAGTTCTCTGTCATCGTCTGAATAGTTTTGTTCTTCATTATTTTCCTCCTCCCCCCAGTATCTGTCCATCCAGCTGCTCGTTTTGTCTCTTGTTAGTTTGTTCATTTCTGCATCCTCATCCCACTGGCTTTCCTCCGAGTCAGAATCATCCTCGTTTGGTGCCGTCTGTCTCCATGTGCTCACCCAGTGGATTGTGGGTGCGGAGAGGTCTTCTGGGAAGCTAGGAGGCCTTGTAGATTCAGGAGTTTTCGGGATGGATGGGACAGAAGACTCTTCGAAAGGAGGGGCTGAATGTTGTTCGGATGATGGTCCAGAGATCCCACATACTAAATGAGCAGAAAATAAAGGGCTTAATGTATTACTGTAAGTTTGGTGTTGAAGGAGAAGTTCACAATGAAAACAACTTTTGCTGATAATTTACTCACCCCCATGTCATCCAAGATGTCCATGTCTTTCTTTCTTCAGTCGAAAAGAAATTAAGGTTTTTGATGAAAACATTCATATTCAACAAACTTCATTGGGAACCAATAGGTTCAAGGTCCAAATGAGAGTTTCAGTGCAGCTTCAAAGGGCTTTAAACGACACCAGACGACGAATAAGGGTCTGATCAAGCGAAATGATCGGTCATTATAAAAATAAATAAAAAAGTTTAAGTTTTATAAGCACAAATGCGCGTTCGTGACTCTCCTGTTCGAACTCGTTCATCAACCAAATGACTCAAAAAAAGATTCGTTCATTTTGATGAACTAGTTAGAACAGGAGAGTCACGAACGCGCATCACAGAACAGAGCAAGATGAGCATTTGAGCTTATAAAACCTATTTATTTTTTAAATGATCTATGTTTTCGCTTGATAAGACCCTTATTCGTCGTCTGGTGTCGTTTAAAGCCATTTGAAGCTGCACTGAAACTCTCATTTGGACATTGAACCGTTTGGTTCCCATTGAAGTCCATTATATGGAGAAAATCCTGGAATGTTTTCATCAAAAACCTTAATTTCTTTTTGACTGAAGAAAGAAAGACGTGGACATCTTGGATGACATGGGGGTGAGTAAATTATCAGCAAAAGTTTTTTTTAAAAGTGAACTACTCCTTTAATAAGATGGTGATATTTTTAAATTAATATTTTTATTCAGCAAGGACACATTAAATAGATCAAAAGTGACAGCAAAGACATTTATAATGTTACAAACGATTTCTATATCAAATAAATGCTGTTCTTTTGAACTTTCTATTTATCAAAGAATCCTAAAAAAAGACGTCACAGTTTACATAAAAATATTAAGCAGCACAACTGTTTTCAAGATTGATAATAAAAGTTTCTAGAGTTTCTATTCACTCATCCATAAAAGATCCATCAGCTTGACGACAAGATCCATAATTCCGCTTAAAGCAGAATATACGTCATTAATATACGCCTTTGTTATTGTAAGAGGTTAGCGACCCCTGGTGGCGAAACAATCTTGCATATTGTACATTTAAGGTATATTCAAACAAAAAAAAAACTGTTATTTTAAATTGAAATGATATTTCACAGTATTACTGTATTCTTTATCAAATAAATTCAGCATCAGAAACTTATTTTATAAACATTTAAAAAATCTTACCAACCCCAAAAATTTTAACAGTAGTGCACGTTAATAGGTTGACATATTTATATTATATAAATATTTCATCAAAACATTTTAAACCTGTTCTGAGTGCTTTAACAGTTTTGTGCAGCAGTTGGGATGCTGAGTGTCTCTCTCCCGGCTCCTTAACCAGTCCCCCTCTGATGACATCACAGGTCAGGGGGTCACAGTCAGGTGGGATCTCACATAAAGGAGGCGGCTCACTGACGATCTGATAATCATAGCACATTTCAATATAGTTATATAGACAGCATGTCAAAACAACACCAAAAGTCAAGAAAACACAAAGACATTTCACATGTGTATAATATAGTCCATTTGAGTTTTGACTGAATTTATGTTTATTACAATCTTAAACATATCTCAATCTAAATCTTTTGCTTAATGAATAGTTAAAATAGTTCAAGTGACTACAGTGGCTCAACCTTAAGTTTATCAAGCGACGGGAATGCTTTTTGTGCGCAAAAAAAAAACGTTTTCTTCTATGTGGGCCTCAAGAGTGAGTTCACGTAATATAACAGCGCAGCGCTACCTCAGAACAAAGGCTCACTATTGGCCGATTCTGGTCATGAGTGTGATGCTGGCCAATAGTGAGCCTACGTTCTGACGTAGCGAGAGTGAGTAATTACTGACAGAATTTTTATTTTTGAGTAAACAAACCCTTTAAATGTGTGATTTTGAAATTTGGTTAAAACTGTGGATGCAATGATAATACAATTTTCATGTTATGAATACAATCAATAGTAAATAATCAATAAATAACAGATTTTTTTTTTTTAAATACATTGACATATTTAAATATATATTTTTGGCTAAAGCATTTTCAAATTGAATTTTGTGTTCGTGCCAAAGTATATTTTTGTAAACATATTTTAAAATATGTTAGTTTTAAATATAATATAAAAATATATATGTATGTACAATACATACACAAATTTTAGCTAAAATATTTGTTTGTTTTTAATCTTAAACATATTTTGATCCAAATTTTATGCTGCGATGAGGCGACTCGACGCCTGTGAAGA